TCACCGCCAATGCGAGGTGGCTATCGTGGCCGAGGATATCGTGGACGCTGGGGCGATCGCCAGATTTGTAAATTCTTCCGCGAAGGCTATTGCAGAGATGTAACCACCTTAATTGCTTTTACATTTCTCCCCCTCCCCCTCCCTCGTGTCGAATAGTGGCCAAGTTATGACGGCTTACAGACCAAACAACACTTGATGGTAATTATGACCGGCACACTGCAGTTTCTGGATAAAAGCTAGGAGAGCGGCCAACACTCAGCCGGGCTTGCTCTAGAAGCTCCGCTTTACTTGTGATTTCCTGTCAAGAAATGCACATTTCCAAAATTTCAGGGCGACAACTGTTCTTATTCTCATGATGCCACAGATTCGGGCCGCAAAGCTGAATTATGCAAATTTTATCAGCAAGGATACTGTAAGAAAGGGCTCCAGTGCCCGTTGCTGCACGGCGAGTATCCGTGCAAAGCGTACCACAAGGGTGAATGCTCGAAGGATCGTTGCAAGTTCTCGCACTTACCTCTGAATAGCTTCACACAGCCGATATTTGATCAGGTTGGTGGCCCAGTCTGCCTTGTTATGTGTGTTAGTTGAGTTAAGCAAGTCACTGAGTGAAACTTACAAGAAAGCAAGCGATAATTACGGCCTCGTGCACGTCAGTTAGGCGAGCAAGCACTGTCGCATTTCATTAAGAAAAGCAATCGAAAGTGAAAATAAAATCCTTCAAATGACCTAATAATTGGAAAAGCTAGCAAAACATAGTGCTATCCTGTTGACCTCTTCGGATGCGTATGCACCGGACATACGGCTGCATTCCATAACAACAAAATCCAGCACTAATTGTCCGGGCGGTTCTTATTATTTCGGGGCACTTCTGGTGAGCAGCACAGCTCCTATCTGTTAGCATCTCTGTACTGAGCATGAATAAATCAACACCGAAGGCTGCAGCAGCTGAATGGTGGCTAGTATGATTCCGGGGTCGAAAACAAGTATATTCACGAATTGACAAATTTCAGATGATGAAGGATGATGAACTGGCATCACGCATTGCCATTCCACAGGGCCCGTTAAAACGACGCGTTCTGCTGCCGGGTGGACCGAGTTCTTCTCCACCAGGAGCTACCCCGTCAGCAGTCCCAGTAATGGTCACGGTGAACGCCGATGCAGGAAGCATAACGGCCGGGGGTATTATACCTCCACCGTCGGTTGTGGTACCCACTCTGTCCTCGGCCGCCGCTGCAGCAACAGTCACTTCAGCAGCACCAGTGACCATCGCCCAGCCGCAGCTCATCATCCCACCGGCACTTGGTGCGGCTGCCAGTCAGACAACCTATCCGGCATTCTTCCCTCATCACTCGGTGTCCACGCCGGTTCTTGCCGCCACCTCGTTAGCCACCGGCACATTTTCTGCCTTAGCACCACCGCAGGTTCCTCAAGCTACTGCTGCTGTTCTACAGCATTATACGGTTGGTTTCACTGACTTTTCTTAGCGCTTTCCAAATTTCTTCAAACATTTGCTTGTAAACTTACCCCCTGTGTGTGTGTGTGTGTCAAATGTTTATATATATATATATATATATATATATATATGTATATATATATGTATATATATATGTATATATATACATATATATACATTTTTTTGATTGTATTTCATTTAAAAACCGTTTTACTTGATTTATTGCAGGTAATACAAGTTATACTTGGGATTTGTTCCCTGAGTACGACATTTTCAAGGTTTGTTTTGAAAAACAACAAAATCATGAGAGTTTTTTTTCGTTTTGAAGCTCTTGATGTTATTGGCAAGCATAATGGTGCAACTACTAGCAACAGACTCTTTTACTTTTATCTGATTTCAAAATATTTTTCGTTTGCTTGATGACGTTAGATGTCGCTAGTATATTTAGCCGAACAAAATACATCGCGGCATGCAAAGGAGGTTGAACTCGGTGCTGGTATCACAGCTCAGTGGGTAGGTAGAACATCTGAACCAAATTTCCTTAGGGTATAGACATCGTTAAATAATCTATCTGACAACAATCTTTTTTTCTGGAAGTTTTAACAAAACAACGAAATTCTAGGTAAATGAATTTGGCACAGTGAAAATTCGTCTAACCGATACGCCCGGTTATGATGCTGAAGGGGCTGTATCTCCAGACGGACGACACATCGTATTCACATCTGTGCGAAGTGGGGATCCGGAAATCTGGATCATGAATTCGGACGGCAGCGAGCCCAGACAGGTTTGAAGTTGCGCCTTAACTCCCATGACAGATGCATTCGATGTAGCGAGTCGATTTGAAAACAGCTTCCAGCAAAATTCTTGTTGCTTTTCGACCATCCAGTGCGAGCAATTGGATGTGCAACTGAAACGGCTGGGATGCAAAAATAAAAAGAGCGCGCTAATCCAGCAAGAAAAGCATCATGGTTAACAGCGCCAAAACTACCTTATCTGAAGCTTGCAAAGTTTCGCTAGGAAGAAAATTTTATTATTCTAGTGGTGTAGCTGAGATTTTCGAGAATAGACACACATGCATCTCGCCATAGGGACAACCGAAGAGCGCTCCTACCAGTTGAGGGATGTTCATGAAAAGTAAAAAAAAGAAAAAAGTTTGAAAAAATTCCGTCCTTTCGTTTATTTATGCATAGTCAGTAAATTATGTGAAATGACTGAAAGCAAAGTTTTGCTTGCATAGAACTTTTTTTGTTAAAGCTGGGCCATACGGAGTTTGAGAGCATTATTCAATTATCAGACAATGCCAGCTGGCCTGGACTCAGCATGTTTCGGTATCTGATAGTTATTTTTTGTTGGTCTTAAATTTGAAGTCGTTGGGATTTTATTACTACTATTTAATCATGTTTTCTTATTTTTGTGAAGTTACTGATTAGCTTCGGCTTCAGCTAACAAACGAAACTGGTTATGATGGTGGCCCATTCTTTAGCCCTGATGGAACAAAAATAGTCTTCCGTGCATCCAGACCAAAAACTGATGCAGAAATCAAGAAATACAAGGATTTGCTAAGGTATAACATTCCTTCTAATACATATGTTATCTTCTACCTCAGTATGCGGACAATCTTCTACCTCATTATGCGGACACATCGGGAAGATTAAATAGGTGCATAAAGTAGGTAAAAATGATAGTTTTTTATGGAGTCTTCAGCACATAAAGATTTTCTGAACCTCCGAAAGAAATTATGAAGGCCTGGACTTTCTGAAAGCGCATAAAATTCATATTATGGAGGAACTGTGTTTGTTTATTATCCATTTTAAAGTATCCGTATTTTAAAATGCCATCTGGGTGGTCTTGGTGTTCCTGGTAACTACTCATTTTGCAGCTATGTGTGTTAAATATAGTGACAGATAACACCACTAATCAGATTCAGGTCGATAATTCGAAATCGCGGGAAAGTAATTTCCTCTGGATTTGTTGTTTTAATACAGCCGGAATTATTAAGTATGGTAATCGGAAAATATATGGGTATACCTATATAATACATAGATGCACCACTTATTCCACCACTGTGAGTGGATCTCCAGGCTCAAAATAGACGTTCACGTTCTCTTGCTTATCGCATACGGACAGTTATGAGAAGCGATTCTGGAAGCAGTTAAGCTAGAAAACTGAAATTACAGGGATGTTGTGTCTCCTTCTGCACTCAGAGAATGAAAATTCAGCTTGAGAGTAGAATGTATGCCTATTCTCAATTGCATGCTAGTCTAACTTGAAAATTTATCAAAATTCGAGTTGTCCATGTGTAGCAAAAACATTAAATCAGCTTTCCTGTTATGCTTACATCTCGCGTGTCGGCGGGTCAGATTTCAGATTGAAAAACTGTTGGCGTCTTTCTAACTCCGAGTGGTGCCAGGCATGAAGCTGTAGTTTTAGGTAGATGCTTGCAGTCCATATGCAGATCTACAGGCATAAAGTACATTGTAACGTACGTCTGCTGCATCCACGTCAAATTTCCACTTCTAAATTGCTGATATTCTCCTGTCCCAATAACTAGGCATATTAGAAAACTGAAATTTTACGAAGTGCAACCTCATTGGCTTAGTTCATGTCTCTGTTCCTAAAAGTGAAAAAATAAAAATCAACAAGGTTTGCTGTTATCGATTATACTGCTGCATGAAAGGGTGCAAGAACACAGGATCGCACTGGAATCCCAATTTATTTTTACTATAATCAGCCTTTAACAAAGAAAATGAAGAACTAAACTGTTACGTTGTGCATCATAATACCATTACGTTACTGTGGATTACCTTGATAGCTTACCGTATTATTACTTCATCATCAACGATCCAGTCTGCATGCATTCTTCATGCCCCTCATCAAAGGTTTTTTTAGTGGAACAGCTTAATTATTGACAATTTCACGGGTTCGATGTCTGCCTATGAAGTAATGGTCAATAGTCAGACTTTTAATGTTTTTCTTTATTTTCAGCTACAATTTAGTTTCGCCACTGCAAATGGAGCTTTATACTGTCAATATCGACGGTTCGGGGCTGAAAAAGATAACGTCGCTCGGCGGCTCCAACTGGGCTCCATTTTACATGCCCGACAATCGGCGTATCATTTTCAGTTCAAATTTCAATGATACCGGATTTTTCGGTGCTTTCCATTTGTACATTGTTGACGAAAATGGAGAAAATCTTGAACGAGTTCGTTTTTTTTGAAAAGCAGCACTTCAAAGGCTGAATTTTTTGGTGATTTTTGTTGACTGTGTTTGGAAAGGGAAAGGATGTATGCACAAGAACAACAGATAATAGGTTGTTAGTCATTCATAAATATACAATTAGAGTTCAAATTTTAAACTGTACACATGAAATTATCAAATTTGTTAGCTATATAGGAGCACTTTTCACTCTCGAAAATGCATTCTGCGTCCCGCATAATTCATCATTTTTCGAACACTGTCAGACGGTAATGACAAAAAAATGACAAAAATAATAATAACAGTAGTAATAGTAATAGCAATGGTAATAATGATAACGATAATGACAATGACACTAATAATGATAATGGTAATAATAATAACTTATAAGGTTACTTATAACGTTGGCGGTTTCGATGCGTTTCCAATGTTTGACAGAGCTGGAAAACGCCTGGTTTGGGGCAGTAGTCGCAACGGCCGAGGTCCATACGATCTGAATATTTTCATCGCTGACTGGCAGGAGAATGAAACAGAAACATGGAAGAATAAAGAGAAGAAGGTGATTTTTTTTGAAATTCTGTGTTCTAGTCTAAGCAGAAATCTGATCCAGATTGCATGCGTTAGAATAATTGATATTGAATTGAGATTTAGGCGTCTGCTGGCGTGCAATTCATAAATGTGCCAAACGCACAATGATTTGTTACAATCTTCAGTGTAATTTTTTGAGTGATTTTTGATTTAGTATTTTGATTTATCTATTGCATAAAATGAACCAAAATTTCAGATTTAAGGCCGATTTAAAACTATAATTTAAGTCTGTGCGCAGAAGTGAGATATGGGATAATGAAGTATGAAAGCTATTTTCGGTCATCCCTCTTGTATTATGTGGTCATCCACAATCTCAAGAATGCGGAGTATTTTTTGAGTTTGAATTGAAGGTTACGGTGAGAGCGCAAAGTAAACTAAGGGTCAACTTTTAATTTGCGGCCTCCCTACAAAACCCATTCCCAAAATCCTACTGCTTTAGCATTCTTAGTTTCGGAAATGAATAAATAAACGCTCTCTCAGAGAGATATCATCGTGGCACAATTCATTTCTCTGAACGCAAAAACTCATGCTTACGACATTCTGTCTGTTTATTTGTGCTTTCGTGTGTTTGCTCCTCGTCTGCGTTTCCACAACAGTGGCAGTATGAAAGCTGAAATTTTGTTGCAGAAGTAGCTCAAAGCCCTAGTCGAACCTAATAACCTCACTGAACTTCTAGCTTTTGGCTCACGCAAGCGCCTACTAAATTTGCACATGTGTGCCAATTCCTTCTTAAAAGCATTTATGCAGATTTATCTCCCATAAGCTGGGCTTGTGTCCCTCTCCTGACAAACAGTTTTGCTTATTTCAACCATTCAGAAACAAAAAAACTTGAAGTTCTTATTTTCTGATCATCGTTTACAAGTTTTGCGTACTACTGAATTTTTTAGCCATTTAGAAAAGAGTTTAATTCGCGCTCCGTCAAAATGAAAGGAAAACACGTGGGAAAAGCTAAACAGCTTACAACCATCGACCATAATAAGTCGCCGTCTTTCAGGTAGCCTTTTCTTCGGTTTATTCTATCTGAACTCCAGTTTTTTGGTGAAAAAGTTTAAATTTTATTAGCGAGTGGTTAATACAGCATTTAATCTTAAAATCCTGAAAGACAGGAAGTAAGTTTAAAATTTGTTCGGCTGAATTGACCCTAAACATCAACTGAAGTAAACTCACTTTCTTGTAATTGTGATTTATCATTTGTGTTGGTTTGCAGCCCGGACGACAGCAGAATTATTTACGAAGGATTTGGTAACGAACTGTACAGTGTTTCATGCGAACAGGTGATGTTTTGCAGAAAGCTTGTATCTTCGAGCAAGATTTATCACATACTGTGCAAACTTATGATCTCTTCAGATATTCGATTTGGATTTAACGAATGTATCGAGAAGATTCCGACGATTGAGTACAGGCAAGTGAAAAAATGGTTTTTGCAAAATTTCATTTATAAAATTGGGCACAGCAAATTTTTTAAATGGCTGCTGTTGGGCTTCATAATTGCTTATGCTTTCAGGCGGTCCTGAATTCTCTGCTTAACGAATCCAAGCTAGAGACTTACATAAGGTCCACGACCATTAACTCAAAATTTGCAGCAGTAAATTCAGTGCACAGTACGGAGCATCCAAAAATTCTCATTCAAATGAATTCTCATTTAAAATTCGTTTTATTCTGACTTATAGTCTTGGACCTAAATTCAGTTTGGTTTTGTAGTGTCGCTTTCGCGAACTTTCTTTCGCGCACTTGCTCATTCCTTTCCGGCTGATCTTCGTGTATTCTCGCCAATATTCCCTTGTCCAGCAATTTTCGGATAGGCTACAGGATTAGCATGATACACTGAAAGAGCCTTTCGCCTGTTAGCCGCACATTCATCCAATATAAAAATGTAAAAACTTCGGTTTCTGCACTCTATGCTCTGCCTATAGAAAACAAGTCCTCTCATAAAAAATCTTGCCGAAAAATGTGCGTGGTTTGAGTAAAAAACAGAGGAATTTCTTTGCAGGATTGGGCGCCGCACGATGTCCATCTTATTTTATAGCCAATAATGATACTTATACGGTATATGCAAGCGATTTTCTAAGTGTTAATCGTTCCTTGTTGAAAACCTGTCCACGAAGAGCTTGTGACGATAAATGGCTTAAGGACATTTGTAGGTATTTGAGTCATTTTAAACTTCTTTTCCTTTTTGGATTGTTTTCAAATCTTATAAGAGCAAATCCCCAAAATCGGAAATGAAGATGCAGCAGGCTTAATGGTGCAGTGAAGAAGCTTTAATGGGGCCAGTATATGCCTACTCTTTGGATTGGACAATGGATCTGCGTTTCTGCTAGACGCCTACCAAAAACCATACTTCTTTTACCGATGTCCCACGAAATGGGCTGGATTTTCAGAACTGCACATTTGTTATCCTTAGTCACGCAGTAAGTATGCCCTACAGTCTCTAAAATTTCAAATCAAAAGAACCGTTCCCATCCCTTCATATTACTCTGCTGAAGACACCGACATACGTACGAGTAACGTAGCAAAGTAGAGCAAGGCGAACACTGGTTATGATGAATAAAGCGATTTACAGATGGATGCTTATGGCGCCTATTTCTTGACCACATAAACAATCAAACTCTCCGTCAGATGAGCGGAGTGCAAGATATCTTTGCGACCACGCAAAATAGTACAATATAGTGAGCAAGATTTGCTGCTTGCCGTGCTATGACAGCTATTGCGTGCATTAGCGAACAGTAATCGCGAGAAAGTAAAGGACAAATTGAGAAAATTACAAAGAAGCTATGTAAATGTATGATGCAGAAGGTGAATTACTAAATGGTTTTAAAAAGTAGTTGTTGGCCAAAGGAAAGGGCGAGCGCTGGTTGTGATGGACAGAACAATGGAGCGAAGGATGTTTGGCGTGTCTGCTAGCGAGTGGTACCCTCAAAAAGTGAATGACTACACGGGCAGCTTCCGGAGGGCTGGCGAACATGCATCGAACAAGCAATGAGTATTAACTGGAAGTTTGCAGCCCAGTACTGAAGAGCTTGAAATAGTTGTCCCTGGTGTGCGCTAAAACTGGATTATCTGGGTGACCACGTATGTTGGTACGTGTTTCGTAATCCTCTCGTCTCGTCCTTTTTTTTAACTGGCGCGGGTGTTCAATTTTGTCTTTTGAAATTGACTTTAAATTGCTTCTAAAGCGGTTGGTTAATTACCATTAAATTAGTTTGACGTATGTGCGTGGTAGGTAGGAGGAGGGAGAGAGGGGACATATGGCTCCTATTCATTTGGGCAAAAATTTTTAGGTAAACAAACGCGTATCCATGACCTCTATCCGGACTTCGATCTCTTTCAAGTGAATAAATTCGGCAATTTTATACGACGCCTAACGGACAATCCAGGTTATTGTTAAGATCACGATTTGGAACATTTCGCACAAAATATTGCTTTGCTTTTTCAGTTTTGTTGCTATTATATCTTCAAAAATTTAGGAACATGTGCATTTGATATGAAAAAAGATTGGATATTCAGCTGTGTCTGCTGAATCCTCACCATTAATTATTCTGTGTGGCCAAAGATTAAAACTTCTGGAGTATTATAAAAAAAAATTAATTGTAAATTTCTGTATTCAGAAAGCAGTGCATTTGTGTGCTGAAAATGAATTTTGCACGCAGTATTTGAAAAAAGCTCGTAATTCCGAAAAAAAAAAAACGTTTATTAGCGCTTATGAAGCAGGCTAATCAGTGAATGACTGGATATTATTTTAGGTTATGATGGCGATGCTAGTGTCTCATCGGATGGCAAACGTATTGTATTTACGTCGACGAGGAATGGCGACGCCGACTTGTGGATTATGAATATTGATGGAACAGACTTAAAACAGGTATTTTTCTAATTATTAAATTTTGATGGTGATTTGGCGGTTGTTCTGGCAAATTGCCGCTCGTATTGCGCAACAGGGGCAGTGTTTCCGTTGCCGCCAAAAATTTTATTCTGTTGGGTCTCTGTGGAGGAATTTTATTTCAACGCAATTCCTAATTAACAGGCAGAGCTGTGCTTATCTTGGCGGGTCATCCGGTTGAAATGGCGAAAAAGTGATAAAGTTAACGGGAAAGAAAACACAAATGATGACCTACTTTGAGAACTAGTGTTCTGTGAACAGTACTACCTTCAGAATTTTTTAGAATTGATACGACTTTTGGGAAAAGCAAGGTACAGTGACTCCATTTGTCTTATCGACAGTGCAATCGTCGTAATAAAGAGGCCCAGTCTTGTTGCTAAATAAAAATGTCTACGACTTGACTGTGCCGAAACATTCCTGCTCGTCCAATTTTTTAAAATAACTTTATATTTTTTTAAACGTATATGTCAATTAATATCCCTACTAATCCTATGTAAGTACAGACATGTCATGCATGCTGAACCGTACCTTAACCAATCTTATTTCCTCTTCCCCCTCTGTTTCCCCTCCCTCTACTAACTCTGCCACCTAATTCGCTTAGGTATCGTTGCATGAGGCCCAGTGAGAGGCAGCTGCCATGATACTGCTACGGTGTTACATAGATTTATCCATTTCTGCGGAGAAGATGACGATTCGTAACTTAGGCTGACTAGCAGCACCGTTTGGCTTACTGAGTCTTAGCATGCAGTGGAAACGATGTGTTCTACAACTGAGCATCCTGGTAGCTTTGAAACATTATTAGCTGGTGCTTTTTCAGCTGACAAATACTCTTGGTTATGAAGGGGGCGCCAAATTTAGTCCAGATGGGAAGTTCATTGTTTTCCATGCTTCACGACCCACTTCAGAAACGGAACGTTCCCGATACAAATGGCTGTTACGAAGGCAAGTTTTTTTCACCAAACCATTAGTTTATTTACTTTATTTATATTAATGTTGGAGATTTAAAACACGCCTGCGTAGAAATGATTATTTGAAGATTAGAAATTCGAATGAAATCGGAACTGGACTGAGAAATCGATGTTGTGGACATCCACGTTGTTGTTGTGTTCGACTCACCAAAACATTCTTCATTCATTTTTTGTTTGCCTAAGATGAAAGTGCAACTGCGTAGCATTTATACTGACAATAGGAATCACCGCAAAACATAAAAAAGCTTCAAAACACATCAGCGGCTGAAGCCTTTACGGCGGCGGATGATGCACTGTGGTGGTCAGTGAGTGGCGCATCCGGCTCTTGAAGCCGCAACCGATTAATCTTTTGCTACGATACTCGGCACCACTCATTGCTCATTTTTGCATCTTTAAAAACTACTTTTCATACTTAAATAAGTGCATTGTTTGCTCGTATTCATCATCAACCCTTCCAATGATGCAGTTTATTAGATTTGACTTCCCCCGAAAATAATTGTAATCTCGGGGCATAAAGCTGACAGAAAACTCCTTACTCTATCTTTTAATATAAAGACTGCTACTTAAAAAATAAATATTTAGTCTCATTTTACAGGGGGATTAACAATACGAGGCGGTTTAATACCTACACACACACACACAAACAAACAAACATGCATATACACACGCACGGCTTACATGCATATTCAAATTACACGATATTAAAGTAACACATATTTGATCTAAAACGCACGTATTAAAAGCCTAAATTATCCTTTGGTTATCTTGAACTTGCTTTACAGTTTCAATGCTGTTGAACTGAGAAATATGCAAATTTTCATAATGCGTGCTGATGGCAGCGATGTGAAGGCAATAACTAAAGCGGGAATCAATGACAATCATCTCTGGCCGTCGTTCCTCACCAATCAACGAATTTTGTTCGTATTCTCGCAAGGAAATTCAAACTGTGCTGGCGCTTTTAATATTTTCGTTATGAACGTCGATGGGAGCCACGCAGAGCGGGTATTTGTTATTGTCTTCGATTCACGAATAAACCTCTAGCTCTAAACTAAAAGTGATTTTCAGCGAAGTTTGAAGAAGAGGCCGTCCTTTGCTTTACGGGGGGTTTTTAGAAGTTTCGATTGAGTTTTATTTTCTGTAAATGTTTTGATATATTGCGAAAGTGTTAACTAGCATCGGCACTGCTGCAGCTTTTATCTTATTTCAGTGACATCAGCAGCGATGATAAATTTTACTCATCTGACTATATCACTCTCAAATTTATCAAGATCTATCATTGGATGTTTTTTTTCAGATCACCTTCGACTACAGTTGGTTGAATTTCCATCCCTCCATTTCGCACAGTGGCTCTCAGCTCCTGTGGAATAGGATTTCCGGTCGCAAATCTAATTTGTATCTCGCCAACTGGAAGATGCGCGCATGAATTCTTATGCTTGTTCTTTTTTGTTGAGAGTGTACTGAGTGTCTATTTTGAGCTCTGCTTTGCTATCCTCACTAATACATTATATAACTCCTTGCAAGTTTAATTGCTGTTTGAAATAAAGGATTTTGAACATCTCATATTACTGCTACATTAATGCAGGAGCCATAATAAGGATATCCTGCAGTTAAATGGAATCAAATTACCAGGACATCGCTAGATTTATGATCGTTCTGGCGATCATAAATCTAGCGACATCCTGGTAATTTGTTCCCATATTTGGTTAATGTTGGCCTCCGCACCTACTTAATGCGTTAGGGAAACAAGGCTGTGCAGTATTGTTGCCATCCTTAATTTTCTTATACAAACTAGTTATAATTTATTACGTTATACAAATTTATTTAATTCCATTTTATTTCCTTTTATGAATACAACAACTGTCGTACTGAAAAAGTCCAGCAGTGATACTCAATAGGAATGTGTATGATTTAATGAGCCGAAACATTCCTGTTCATCTAATTTTTTAATACAATTTTATATTTTTGTACGTATGTCATAGCTAATATCACCCTTCTGGAATGATGTGGACGAGGCCAGCAAATACAGGATTTGGTTTCGTGGGTGTCGACTCAGTCACTGGAGATCAAGAGTGGAGAAGTGACGACAGGGAATCGTTTTGCGTATTTCATGTATGTAATATCTGCGTTCGTTTATTCTTGTATGGTGACAAACCGGCCTTCAGGGTCATTTTTAATGAATTTCAAAGGTCTCTGAGCTGCTTCTGAAAATTGTTGAGGGTGTTTTTTCTCAAGAAAAACATCTTCATTTTGAAAGATCCTGATCATCTTACGGGATAGATGAACAACCCAGAAAGATATTGCTTTTCGGTCGTTTAAGAGACGCACTTCCTTTGATGAATTAATAAAAACAGGATTTATCTTGCACCATACTGGACCTGTTTTTCATCCAAATTAACCATTTTCTTTGACAGTTTCGCCGCAGTCAGTTTTTTTTCGGCGACAAAAGTAAACTGGTTTATTTGTCGGGGATAAGATTTGAAAGTGTTTAGAAGATGTGCCGGAACAATTTTTCTTTTTGTTTTACTTACATCCCATTGACAAGGCAGTTGATTGACGCGGATTTTGAGAACCAGAAAGCACACATATTTAATTGTATTCTTTTCTGAACAATGTATCACGAAAACTTTTTACGGATGACAGCTTGTAATGAGACATATTGCAGAAAAGTGAGGCAATGCATGCGTCGCTAAACAAAAGTATCGGATTAGTTTCGCCAAAGTAGGTAATGTTTAACGACATCACGATTAACTTCTGGCTTTATATGAGGTGTCTCGTGCCTAGGCAGAACTTATGAGCCTGATACGTCCTTGCGTTGTGCAATTTTTACCTAACAGTTAGTTTTTGGAGTGATGTACGGAAGTTACAGCAATGTCGAAGTGGAACGTGATACGGCCAGTTAATCAACAAAGCATAAGAATTATGAAGGAATAAGCAAATTTTGACAATTGAGTTCACGAAGAGCATAAAGCAGATGTCAAAACACAATCTTTTTTTTTGGAATTCTGTATTTTTTTCACAAATCTTAATCTTCTAGTATTTCAGTTGCTGGATATATCATTTGAGGTAGCGAAAGAGGAGAAAAATTTTAGGCTGCAAGCAGTGGTTGTAAGACATCGGAGCATTTTCAGAACTACAACATCTGAATAAATGAGGGCGCAGTAAAATGATGAACAAAAAAACATTGCTTTTAACATCACCTTGAGTTGTACAGACAATAAATTTGATTGGGATTATTATACGATCGGCCAGCGCTACCTCTTCTTGCCGCCTTTGTATGCGCCGCCACCGCCTGAAACAATTTTGGCTGCGAAAGTGCGACGCGCAGTTAAATAATTTTCGCAGAGCTAATTATTACATAAATAATTTTTGTTTGAGGAAATTAGTGGTTTTAACTACTATACGTGATAAAATTTGGGATGAGTGCGATCACTTTCTCTGGATGCTAGGCTCCACGAGATTATCACTCGCAAACCAATCAAAAACTGATTTCAAAAACAATTTCGATCCTTTGTAGTACAAAAGCAGTTGGGTTTTGAATTTTTGAAGGTACTGAGTTTTATTCACAAAAATCTAGATTTTTTCGGGAGTACGGACAAAATCAAAGCCAACTTTAAAATTTCATGCGCTAAAAATGGAGTATGATAGGATGGCTACTGATTTTCGTTAAGTTAGAACACTTTCTTACATTGTACTAGTGCCGTTGGTAATAAATTAAGCAATATGATAATATCACTCACCGTATGCTCCTCCTCCTCCGCCACCGTATGCTCCTCCGCCACCGTATGCTGGTGCAGCGCCATACGATCCACCGTATGCAGGAGGCGGTGGAGGTGGGGGTGGAGGCAAGTACCTGAAAAGTAAATTTTTAAATGCAGCGCCATGAAGCTAGATTGCTGCTTAGCACCATGCTTGAAGCCAAAACATTTTTTCTGAGTGCGCACCTCGCAAATACTTCTCTCGGTGTGTATACAGTTTTGGGTGAAACACAAACAATTCATGTTTTTGGCATAACAAGATTTTCGACGGCTCCGCTTCGCATGTTAAACATGAAAGAATTGTTACGATAATAGTAATATCAATAATAACAATAATATTTTATAATAATATTAATAATATTTGAAATAATAATATTACGCAGGCTCGACTCTGCTGCTGTTTGTAATTGTTGTTGCACTTCCGGGTTAAAAAAATTTTCGTGCTTCTTTTGCTTATTCCTGTACTTCGCGCCACGCACTTAATAGCCTACCAAGCAAATTTTGAGTTAAGAATGTGAAAAAAAACAGCTCAGAACGCCAGTTCCGGAAATGGCAGCAAAATGGTGGATGAGCTAATAGAGCTTTTCATTGCATTCAACTGCCATCAAATCACTTCAAAAATGAAGAGCTCCGACAAAAACCGGAAGCAGTTGCAGAGTTAGTCTGCAACCATTCGCAAATCTAAGCCATTAAGATTTCAGAATCTTCCGTATTTCTGTCATATATCTTACAAAGCATGCAAGTAGCTCCTTCCAAAGAAAACAAAAGCGGGAAAAATTCGGGGACAAATAAATTTTACCCTCCGCCGGCTCCACATCCACCACCGCC